GGAATTAAATGCTCAAGACTTGGGTTCAGAGTTCAGAAGAGACCCAACTACTTGAAATGCTTTGAAATCTGCTGTTGGCCCCCAGTATTTTGGCTCCTGTCACTGCTTTGGAGGCAAATTTTTGAATTTTTCTGTTACCACATACGCTTCTTCATGAAGTTTGTAAAAATCCGTTATCGTAACTATCATTGCCTCTCTTGAGGGTGTTATTTAAAATCGATAATAATTGAAACATAGTGACCCTAAATTAAGCAGAATGGGTGTGGACAGTTCTCTTGTCCGAGATTCTCTCTTTCTCCCTCTTCCCCTCTCTCTCTCTCCCTCTTTCCTCTCTCTTCTCAGTTCTCTCTCTCTTGAGTTTGCTCAATAAAAATTTATTATGTGCCTATTTCTTGGAAGGCCCTAATCTAGAAACTGAGGATGCAGCAGAGAATAGATAAAATAGATGAAAATTCCTACCCTAAGGAGCTTGTATTTAGTTAAGGGCTAAGTACAAACTCTTCACTGCCATAGGCCCTTAACATGCATCATCTCTTTGGCTTTTAAATTTTTTCCAAGTTTATTGATACATAGTTGACAAGTAAAAATTGTCTACATTTAAGGTGTATAACATGATGTTTTGATATACGTATATATTGTGAAATGATTACCACAGTAAAGCTAATTAACATATCCATCACACCACATAGTTACTTTGTGTGTGTGTGGTGAGAACACAAGATGTACTGTCTTTGAAAATTTCAGGTATACAATACAGCATTATTAACTAGAGTCACCATGCTGTGTGTTGGATCTGCAGAACTTATTCATCCTGCATAACCGAAACTTTGCACCCTTTGACCAATATCTCCCCATTTTCCCCATCCACAACCACCTTGCAAACACCGTTCTACTCTCTGCTTCTATGAATTCAGATTTTTTAGATTCCTCATTTAAGTGGTTTCAGGCACTATTTGTCTTTCTGTATTTGGCTTATTTCATTTGCCCTAACGTCCTTCAGGTCTATCCATGTTGTCATAAATGGTAGGACTGTACCTGTCAGTGGACAGGTAGGTTATTTCCATATCTTCTCTATTGTGAATAATGCTTCAATGAACACGGGAGTGAAGATATCACGTTGAGATACTGATTTCATTTCTTTAGGATATATATCCAGAAGTGGGATTGCTGGGTTGTATGGTAGTTCTATTTTTAATTTTTTGAGGAACCTCCAAACTGTTTTTCATAATGGCTGCACCAATTTACATTCCCATCAATAGTGTGGAAGGATTCCCTTTTCTCCACATCCTCATCAACACTTATTATCTCTTGCCTTTTTGACAAAATTCATTCTAACAGGTATGAGGTAATATCTCATTGTGGGTTTTTGTGTGTGTGTGTGTGTGAGGAAGATTGGCCCTGAGCTAACATCCATTGCCAATCTTCGTCTTTTCTTCTTTTCTCCTGAAAACCTCCCAGTACATAGTTGTATGTACCAGTTGTAGGTTCTTCTAGTTCCTCTCTGTGGGACGCCACCTCAGCATGGCTTGATGAGCAGTGCTAGGTCTGCACCCAGGATCTGAACCTGTGAACCCTAGGCTGCCAAAGCAGAGTGCACAAACTTAACCACTTGGTCACAGACCCAGCCCCTCATTGTGGTTTTGATTTACATTTCCCTAATAATTAGTGACCATGAGCACCTTTTTCATATACCTGCTGGCCATTTCAATGTCTTCTTTGGAGAAATGTCTATCCAAGTTCTTTACCTATTTTAAATTAGGTTATTTGTTTCCTTGCTCTTCGTTGTTTCAGTTCCTTATATATTTTGGGTGTTAGCCCCTTATGAGATGTATGGTTTGCAAATACTTTATAGAATTCTGTAGGTCTGTTCACTCAATTGATCATTTTCTTTGCTATGAAGAAGGTTCTTAGTTTGATGCAACCCCAGTTGCTTATTTTTGCTTTCATTGAGTGTGACTTTTGAGTGATATACAAAAAATTATTGCCTAATGTCAAGAAGCTTTTTTCTTGTGTTCTCTTCTAGTGGTTTAGCAATTTCATGTCTTATGTTTGTCTTTAATCCATTTTGAGTTGATTTTAGTACAAAGTGTGAGATAAGATTCCAATTTCATTCTTATGTATGTGGATATCCAGTTTTCCCAAGGCTATTTATTGGATATACTATCTTTTCCCCATTGGAAATGGGGACTATTCTTTCTGCATTGTATCAAAGATCAGTTGACTTAAAATGTGTGGACTTATTTGTGCACTCTCTATTCTGTTTCATTGGTCCCTTTGTCTCCTTTTATGCCAGTACCATACTGTTTTAATTACTATAGCTTTGTAGTATATTTTGAAATCAGGAAATGTGATGCCTCCAACTTTGTTCTTCTTGCTCAAGATTGTTTAGCTATTTGTGGTCATTGTGCTTCCATATAAATTTTAGATTTTTTTTGTCAAAAATGCCACGGGAATTTTGATAAGGACTGCATTGAATCTGTAGATTACCCTGGGAGGTAGGGAAATTTTAACAATATTAATTCTTCCAATCCAAGAACATGGGATATCTTTCCATTTGTTTGTGTCTTCTTCAATTTCTTTCATCAATGTTTCATACTTTTCAGTGAACAGATCTTTCAAATCCTTGGTTAAATTTATCCTAAGTATTTTGTTGTTTTTGATACTGGTCTAAATGAGATTGTTCTCTTAATTTCCTTTCCTGATAGTTCATTGTTAGTGTATATAGAAGTGCAACTTATTTCTGCATGTTGATTTTGCATCCTGCAAATTTACTGAATTCATTCATTTGTTCAGATTTTTTGGTGGAGTCTTTAGGGTTTTTTGTATATAAGATCATGTCATCTGCAAATAGGGACAATTTTACTCTCCTTTTCCTATTTAGATGCCTCTTATTTGTTTTTCTTGCCTAATTGTTCTGGGTAGGATTTCCAGTACTATGTTGAATAGAAGTGATGAGAGTGGGCATCCTAATCTTGTTCCTAATCTTAGAGGAAAAGCTCTCAACTTGTCACCATTCAGTGTGGTGTTATCTGTGGGCTTGTCACATATGACCTTTATTATGTTGAAGCATATTCTTTCTATACCTAATTTGTTGAGAGACACTATTATGAAAGGATTTTTGTTGTTGTTAAATACTTTTTCTGCATGATTGTGTGGTTTTTATCCTTCATTTTCTTAATGTGCTGTGTGACATTTATTGATTTATTGATTTGTGAACTATCTTTACCTCCCAGGGATAAATCTCACTTGAACATGGCATACAATCCCTTTAATGAGCTTTTGAATTCAGTTTGAGGATTTTTTCATCTATATTCATCAGAGTTATTGGTCTGTAATTTTCTTTTCTTGTGGTGTCTTTGTCTGGCTTTGGTATCAGGATAATGCTGGTCGCTTAAAATGGGTTTGGATGTGCTCCCCTCCTCTTTCAATTTGTAGAAAGAGTTTGGAAAAGATTCTTAATTCCTTTTTAAGTATTAGGTAGAAATCACCAGTGAAGGGCTCTGGTCTTGGGTTTTCCTTTTTGGGGGGATTTTGATTACTGAATGAATTCCTTACTTGCTTTTGCTCTGTTCAGATTTTCTATTTCTTCATGATTCAATTTTGGTAAGTTGTACGTTTCTAAGAATTTATTCATTTCTCCTGGTAATCCAATCTGTTGGTGTATAATTGTTCATAGTAGTCTCTTATGATCCTTTGTATTTCTGTGGTATCAGTTGTAATGTCTCCTCTTTCATTTATAATTTTATTATTTGAGTCTCATATTATTTTTTTCATCTAGCTAATGGTTTGTTAATTTTCTTTATCTTTTCAAAAACCCTGCTCTTAGTTCTGTTTTTCTTTTCTGTGGTTTCCCTAGGCTCTATTTTATTTATTTCTGTTCTAGTCTTTGTTATTTCCTTCCTTCTGCTAACTTTGGGCTGACTTTGCTCTTTTTTTCTAGTTTCTTGAGGTATAAAGTTAAGTTGTTTATTTGATATCTTTCTTTTTTCTTAGCATAGGCACTTGTCACTTTAAACTTCTCTCTTAAAACTCTTTTTGATGCATCCTATAAGTTTTGGTATGTTATTTTTCCACTTTCATTTGTGTCAAGATATTGTTTGATTTATTCTTTGACCCACTGGTTGCTCAAGAGTATGTTGCTTACTTTACATATATTTGCAAATTTTCCAGTTTTGCTCCTATTTGTGTGTACCATTCTGCATACAAACTAGGTGGGATTCTGCTCAGATTTCTCTGCAGATGTTTCTCTGTCAATGTTCTTCTTAGTGTGAAGCCCCCATAATTTGCATACTATATCAGTCTATAGTGACCATTGACAATTGGAACAACACTCTCACTTTCTCCACTTAAACATGTGATGTCTAAGTGATTTTTCACAACTTTAACAAATTTCAAACTTGTTCACCAGAACCAAGGAGTCTTCTTAACACTTTCTGCTTGATAAAGAAAATTATTGCCTTTATTAGTTTGTTTTGATTAAATAAGTAGTGACATCAGTTTCAGACTGATATTAAGCATGAGTCTCTGGTCTACTTTTTCCTTTTAGCACCAAATAAAGGAATAATCTCTTTCTCTTACTCTGATGCTTACATTTAGCAGCATAAGGCCATGTAAACCTCAGCTCTGATGAGGCAATTGATCTTATTATTTCTGCCAGACGAATGGCTTTAAAAAATAATATAGAGTCTTTTAATGGTATTCCTAAGACTAGAATAATCTTCAGTGACTAATTTCTCAGTGAAGTCGATTACTCTTCTATTTCTACATAACTCGCATTTCTCATTTGTTTTGGGATTAATACCACATACTGCAAAAGATGATATCATCACAGATTTGAGAAGGAAGAAACACATTCTGTTGAAGTCGTGATTATCAGGTATCTGAAATGAGAAGCTCTCTTGCACTTTAGTCCTGCCTCTGGACTCCAGAGGGCGATGTTGCACAAAAGAGACCTTTGTTTTTGTTGCAAATTGTCACCATCCACTTAGCCGTACCTCCAGGCAGCTGGTTGATGTATCCTAACTGATGTCTGTGTAGGTAGGAACATGTGATGAGACTAGGAGGCCAGAAAAGATCCAAACTCATTCAGAGAAAGACTCTTTTAACAGTTTTTGAAGCTTGTCAAAGCAAGAGACTCCTCCAGACCAACCTTTCCACTTCTCCAACTCTGAAGGCTCAGTGACCTCAGCTGCTGTCCTACCTGCTCCTGCTCTGGAGCCTGCAGTGTTTCCACTGCTCAGCCATGCTCCTGCTGCTCATCCCAGTGCTGGAGATGGTTTTTGCCCTGAGTAAGTAACCTTCCATTCTCTTTCTTACTTTCACAAAGTAACCCGTGTTCAAACTGAAGTCTAAATAGAGACATCTTTTCTTCATTGCTAAAATCTGCCCTTTATGTTCCAGGAGGGACCAGAGCCCAGTCAGTGACCCAGCCTGACAGCCACATCACTGTGTCTGAGGGAGCTGGTCTGGAGCTGAGGTGCAACTACTCATCTTCTGTTTCACAGTTTCTCTTCTGGTACGTGCAATATCCCAACCAAGGCCCCCAGCTTCTCCTCAAGTACTTTTCAGGGCCCATCCTGGTTAAAGGCATCAAAGGTTTTGAAGCTGAATTAAAAAAGAGTGAAACCACCTTCCACCTGAGGAAACCCTCAGCCCATTGGAGCGACTCAGCTGAGTACTTCTGTGCTCTGATGAACACAGTGCCTGAGACTGCAGGGGGAGCTGAGCACAAACCTCCTGAGACACTAGGACTTTCTGTGACTCAAGACCTCAACCTGGGAAGTTTTCAAGAAGGTCTTTTTTTCTGTGAAGGCTAATAGGGCGGGGTGGGCTGAGTCCCACAAGTGCTTGTCTCCTGACTGATTGCTTCAACGTCAATACTGTGCCACATTTGGATAGACTCTGTACCAGACTGACGTCTTCTGATGAATTTCCCCAGGATGGACCAGCCCCCTACAACTCCCCACCCCCACTGCCACGCTGAGGAAAGGACATCATAAAGTGCTAGAGTTTTAAAGTGAAAAAGGCAAGAGCATTTTTATTAAAAAAAAATCATTTCTAGCATTCATTATGATAATTAGAATTGCACTAGGTGTTGATCAATATGTGGAAAACTGAAGTACTTGGTTATAATGTTAGCTGACAAGCTGTGCTGCATATATTCTCAATTCGGGCAACATGTACAGCCTGGATTCTTAATTAGTGCAGTGTGGATTCTCAGCCTAGATTTAAAGCTTCACTTGTAGCACATATGTAATATCCCTCTGTGTGCTGTTGACATATTCTAAAGTAAATTAGACATCATGATACTTAGATTTCTAATCTTGTAAGCATTACACAAAACCAGAGAGCAAATTGAACATAATTCTTAATGCAATATCGAAAATCTAAAATCACTCAACTGTAATCTTTTTTTGGAACCATTATTTCAGTGATTTCCAAGTTAAAAATTTGAGGCCACTAACCCATAAAAATACATCAAATACAATAGATTAAACTACTGAAAAACTCTTAGACATTTTATTTTTAGACACCACACTAATTCATGATATCATATGAAATTACACAACCAGAAAAAATTTCCAGCCATTCAGAGCACATTAACAAACTTTGTAGAAAAATAGACCTCCACTTGCGAAGTTCACAATATCAGAAATCACAGTAATTCTAATAGGGATGTCCAAGACCAGGGATCACTTTCATTTCCTCTCAAACAATTGTACCAAAGTGCCAACACGTTTAAGATACTGTAGATACATTTTATATGTATACTCCAAATTGTTATTTGTGATTTGATTCATATGATAAGATTAAAAAACCTGCCTCTTAAAATATTATAAAAAGTTACACCCACAGAAATTAAGCCTCCTTTAATTCATCATTTCTTAACTTACAGAGGCAGAAATTATGAGCTGAATGATTTCACTTCTTAAAAAACTTTACAATTGCATAAATCGAATTTTTAAAAATGAGATGAGGTAAGATTGCCACCTTACTATAAATGTGCCTCTAGAGCTATTAAAGCATGCATTTAAAAATGGTTTATAAACATAATTCTATGAAGCAAACAAAGAGGGTTTAGAGAGTTTATGTTCAAAGATATTCAGACTTGGCTTTTTCCTCTCTTGTTGCATCAAAGACTCATCTGTTCTCACTTTTATTTCTTTTGCTGCTGCTGATTCCTTAATTTCTAGATCTTGGGGTGCTGTTTCTTCCAATTTTCCTTTTGTTTCCCTTTTCATTTTTGTTTGAAGTTTCTCTGACCGATTTGTTCTTTCGTTATGTTGTTTATGGCTCTTTAATTTGCTGCGGTCACATTTTCCAGGGACAGGATTCTTACAGTTCTCCTGTTGGGCTCCTCCTTCACTTGTCCTTGAGCAGAACTGGCCTTCCTCTTGGGCATCTCATTGAATGTTGTGCTCGCAGCAGTCGTGGTGCTGCCTGGAGTGTTTGGACTTTCCATTATGTTATATTAATTTCTCTAGCTGGACCTTTCAATAATAATTTTCAACTAGTAGAGCACTACAGTTTGTCTTATCAACTGTGGAGGAAATCCCTCTACATTCTGTCTGAGAATTTCAAGGCTTCCTGATGACTGAGATTATCTACAGTATCAGATTCGACCACTAGAGGCAGGTACTACACAAATTGAACTTGGTAGAGTCAGAAAGCAACCAGGCTTTTGAGCAAGAGCTTTTCTTTTCATGCTTGATAAACTCACTCACTGCTCTGTCAGAGTATCCACGGGGCTCAATTATTTCCAGAAAAGAGTCTCCTGTCTCCTCACAGCTCAGGCATGAAGCCCATCCTCATCTCAGTGTTTGTGATGATATTCCCACACAGTGAGTAGTCTCTTTTTGTTCTATCTTTCTATGGTCTTCTGATTTAGAATCTGCTTAAAGAAATATTCTCCTCAGTCTGCAAGTCTCTCCCTGATCCAGACTTGGTGTTACAGGAGGAGCAAGAGCCCAGACAGTGACTCAGCCTGAGGACCGCATCTCTGTCATTGAAGGGGCCCCAGTGCAGGTGAAGTGCAACTACTCGTATTCTGGGAGTCCTTATCTCTTCTGGTACGTCCAGTACCCCAAACGAGGCCTCCAGTTACTCCTGAAACACACCTCAGGAGAGAGCATCAAAGGTTTCACGGCCAACCTTAACAATGATGAGGGGTCCTTCCATCTGAAGAAACCATCAGCTCAAGAGGAAGACTCAGCCATGTACTACTGTGCTCTGAGTGACACAGTGACTGGTTTTACAAGGGAAGCAGAGCACAAACCCTTTGGGAGTTACAGGAAATATTTCTTTGTCAGTTCTCTATTTGACCACAGTGGGGCATTCTTTCTCTAGAAACTGACATTAAGTTGACCTTAGACATGATATCATCAAGATGTCAGTTAGCTATAGGTTAACCTCAAAAATTTACCCAAGAAATTTCCTATTACCTACTCTGCCTAATTAATTTTAAAAATAGCAAGTGTATTATTCTGTCTAGTAGTACCTGGAAAAAAATACTTTTGAAATAAAAACTATATAGTACGGCATAAAAAATATTCTTTTCTTGGCCCAGAAAAGAGTCTGGGACTCCTCAGGTTTAAGCGGTGCAGTACCACCTCTCTGACTCCTCTGCCCCCCCATCCACCCCCGCATGTATTCACCACCGTATACTTCAGCACAATTCCTTAAAAGTACTACACTGCTTCATGACATGTGACTGCTGATCTTTCTGAATCTGATGTCTTTCCTCTCATGCACTTCTTGGACTCCTACTATCTCAATCAGGGTCCAATCAGGAGAAATAAACACAGTATTTTGAACAAGGGAAGTTAAATATAAAGAATTTTTAACTAATAATAGAGAATTATTTACTAATGTGTAATAAGAACACTAAAGAACACGGGAACGGCATATGTAGGGAGAAGCCCTTATCTCTAGGACTAAGCCAGAGTTCCAAAGTAAGTAGCACAATGTAATACATACCACCCTCTCCAGCAGCAGAGATTCTCCTGCTGAATCTATGAGTCAGACCTCATGGAGGGGTGTGTGGCTGTAGCCTGCTGGATGGTGGAGAAGTTTGCTGATGTGTCAGAGAAAAAGGCTGCCAAGCGGGAAGACACACACCAGGGTTCCAATAGAATTTATGGGAAACCGGCAAAGGAGTGGGGCTGAACTTGCTTCGGGTGCTCATGAAACTTGCCACGAAGCCACCTGTGTGCTGTCACTGAACTTTGCTGGAGGCCAGTGTCACAGGTGTCCCACAAGCTGGTCAAGCACTGTGGGAACAAGAAATGAGGAAGACATTCTAGAACCAGGAGGAGAAGACTCTTCTTCCTGCAGTGTCCTTCCAGTTCCCTCTGCTGACAAAGCTTAATATCATGCCAGCGAGCAAAGGAGAAATGTTTACAAGGTCCAGGTCCAGAATCACAAATAGGGAAATGAAGGGGGGATTTGGAGTTGAAAGGCAATAAATTGATAACTAGCACCCTTCTGGTTATTGGTCTTTCACACACACCCCTCCCCACACATTTAAATTTCCAAACAACAATGGAATGACTCTCTTTCCATCTAACAAACTAAAGCTGTCCTTTGAACAAGTGAAGTGCTTATCCTTTCCCCAAAATACAGAAACTCCTAAAACATTATAGTCCCAACAGTCAAGGCAACTCCACTGAATCTGCTGTTATATACAGACTAAATTGTAAAGGTAATCTCCCACAATTTGTATATAAAATAATTATGGTGCGGAGAGAAAAGAAGAAAATGGCAACATATACAAAGGAATACATACATATAAAGAGCAAAAAGAGAATTTAGAAAGCTGCTACATTCCTTGACTCCAGATTTGGTCATGAGGCTGCAATTGATATAGACAGGTTCTTTCTTTTATTACACATTTTATACTTCCCCTGCCCTCAGCCATAACCTCAGTGGATTGAGTTATTTACCCTGTGGAGTGATCCAAATCTTCATTCTCAAAGGATCTGAGTATTCAATAATCTTGCTTTTTTATTTGTTGCTGTAATTTTCCATCATCCTTTACTTTTGGGCATGGAAGTTCCAAGAGGTTCCCTCAGAAAACTTTCTGCATTCCAGACATAGTCCTCTTTATATATGTTATGTAGCAGCAACCCAATTTCTCTTTCATAATTGGTATCAATCACTCCAGTGAGTAAACTTTTTTTTTTTTTTTTGGTGAGGAAGATTCACCCTGAGCTAGCATCTGTCGCCAGTCTTCCTCTATTTTGTATGTGAGTTGCCACCACAGCATGGCTGATAAGTGGCGTATGTCTGCACCCAGGATCTGAACCCATGGATCCAGGCTGCTGAAACGGAGTGTGCCAAACTCAATCACTATCTCACTGGGCTGGCCCCAGTAACCTCTTTTTCTGTTTGTTGGTTCAGTGATATATGTAGCCCAAAATGGCCACATGACAGTCTCATCTTCCAATTCGATGTAACCATTGTGTGTCCCTTGCTGTGAGCATTCTTACCTTTAGAGAATAAGACCTCCAAACCAAGACAGCTCAAATTTGCAAAGACTGGAAGCAAAAATCCTGCTAGTGAGTTACTGGTAAAAATAGTGAGAGGATCCACTCCCATGGCCACTTCTTTGATGCCTGGGCCCATGCATTCAGGCTATGGGTGAGACGATACCCTATAATGGTCTTTGATATAACGCATATACTGCATCTTATAAGAAAGAACTCTATCTTTTCAGAGAGTTGTCTTCCATACTACATTTGAAGAGGTGAGCCACTTTTGGGTGATGACATAAGTAGTAAGACTAGATAATTCCATGGGTTTTTGCCCACTGCCGTATTCCTTTGCTGTGAAAAAAGTTCCTTCATCAGAAGGAATGCTATGGTGAATATATTGATAAGATTAGGCATTCTGTGGATTCATGAAAATGATGCTGGCAGAAGCATTATAAGCCAGGAAGACAAATCCATATGCAAGTGTATGTGACTATTTCAGTGAGGACAAATTTCGACCATCCATCATGGAAGAGGTCTAATGCA